AGGATGTAGGCTCCCTATTCACCTCACATATTATTTCTCTTGCTGAGAAAAAACTTTTTAGTTTGAATTCATCCCATTTGTTAATTCTTGGGTTTAACTCTTGTGCTATAGGCATCTTATTAAGGAAGTTGGGGCCTAGCTCCACATGAGAATGATTAGGGCCTACTTTTTCTTCCATTAGATGCAGAGTCTCTTGTTTAATTCCTAGACCCTTGATCCATTTTGAGTTAACTTTTGTGCATGGTGAGAGATAGGGATTCAATTTAATTTTGTTGCAGATGGATTTCCAGTTTTCCCAACACCATTTGTTGAGGATGCTATATTTTCTCCAGTGCATGCTTTTATTACCTTTGTCTAATATAAGGTAGTTGTACTTTTGTGGGTTAGTCTCTGTGTCCTCTATCCTGTACCATTGGTCCACCAGCCTGTTTTGGTGCCGGGACCATGCTGTTTTTATTACTATTGCTCTGTAGTATAGTTTAAAATCTGGTATAGTGATACCATCTGTTTCACTCTTCCTGCTTAGAATTTCTTTTGCTATTCTGGGTCTCTTATATCTCCAGATGAATTTCATAATTGCTTTTTCTATTTCTGTGAGGAATGTCATTAGGATTTTGATCAGAATTGCACTGCTGGTGAGATCATAAATTGGTGCAGCCAATTTGGATAGCAGTAGGAAATTCCTTAGAAAACTGGGAATGTAACCACCATTTCACCCAGCTATTCCTCTTCTAGGACTATACCCAAAACACCTAAAAACACCATACTACAGGGACTCAGCCACATCAAAGATTATAGTAGCACAATTCACAATAACTAGACTGTAGAGCCAACCTAGATGCCCTTCAATGAATGAATGGATAAAAATATGTGGCATATATACACAATGGAATATTACTCAGCACTAAAAAATAATAAGATCATGGCATTTGCAGGGAAAGGGATGGCATTAGAGCATATTATGCTAAGTGAGTTTAGCCAGTTCCCAAAAAACAAATGCTAAATGTCTTCTCTGATATAAGGGGGGTGACTCAAAATGGGAAAGAGAGAAGAAGCATTAGAAGAAGATTACCTATACACAGGGAAAAGGGGTGGGAGAGAAAGGGAGGGAGAAAGGGAATTGCACGAATGGTGGAAGGAGAGCCTCATTGTTATACAAACCATATGTATGAAGATGTGAGAAAAAAAAGGAATAGTGCTACCATAGATTAAGAAGAGAGAAGTGATGGGAGGGGAGAGGAGAGGTTGGAAAGATAGGAAAGATAGTAGAATGGAATAGACATTATTATTATTGGTGTATATATGTGAATGCATGATCAATGTGAATCTACAACCTGTATACTCAGAAAAATGAGATATTGTATCTCATATGGTTCAAATGTATGATATGTCAAGGTCATTGTACTGTCATGTGTAACTAACTGAAACAAATAAAAATAAAAAACGAATTGTAGTGCAAAAAAGTACATGTAAAATGCCATAAATTGACATAAACTTACTTTATATTCAGATAAAATTGTGCTTTATATGTGTAATAAGGATTGTAGTGCATTCCACTGTTATCATGCACTTAAAAAATTATAAAATCAATAAAAACTAGAAAAAAACACAAAATGCTAAATTTCTCTAGAAATTAGAAAATGCAAATTAACACTACATTTATATTCCATTCTTGGTTTAGTCAAAATAGGAATTATCAAGAATACAAGTAACAATAAATGCTGGAGAGAATGTGAGATAAAAGTTACACTCATACTTTGCTAGTGAGACTGCAAATTGGTGCAAGTACTCTGGAAAACAGTATGGAGATTCCTCTGATAATGTGGAATGGAAACACCATTCAACCAGTTATCATCCCAGTTGAATCTTGATTTTATTTGTTACAATTTAGAAGTCTTGTTGAGGAAATCAGTTCCTAAGTTGACATGATGGAGAGTTGGATATATATATATATAAAGTCCCTTGGAGATATATATATCTCCAAGGGACTTTATATATATATATATCCAAGGGACTTTAAATCAATATACTACAGTGACACAGCCACATCAATGTCTACAGCAGCCCAATTCACAATAGTTAAGCTAAGGAAACAACCTAGGTGAGCTTCAACAGATGAAAGGTTAGAGAAAATGGGGTACATATACACAATGGAGTATTTCTTATCCATAAAGAAGAATGAAATTTATGGCACTTGCTGGTAAATGGATGGAACTTGAGACTATTATACTTAGTGAAATAAGCCAATACCAAAAGAACCAATGGCCAAAAGTTTTCTCTGATCCTAAATAGAATCAGATGTAGCCCATGTATGTAAAAAATACACTCTACTGTCATACATATCTAAAAAAAATAAAATAAAACCTGGTGCTGAAAAAAAATTAAAAATAAGAACAGCTTTAAAAAGCTTTAACCTAACACACACATTTAGTAATGGAAAGAGATGAACTAAAATTCAGTGGTCTGGACACACAAAAGCAAGACTAGAAATAAATGAAGAAACTCTTACAGAATTATGCGAGTTTGAGATCTTGGTTTATGCAGGTTCTCAGCCTAGGTATCTTCCATATATTTGCAGACACCATATGATTGACAAATATGGAGGAACCACCACAGAAAATGCATTTCAGATACTCTACTACCTATATCACTATTTCACTAACATGACTCCACTCTCACAACACTGACAAAGAAAGTTGTTACTTAACAGTGCAAGCTATCACCATTCAGGAGTCACAGATAAGACATAGGAAACTACAATAGAGACACCATTTGGAAAATAATTCGCATCACACATTTAATCAATAGCATAAGACACATCATCCAGGGAAAACAGTTTTCTAAGCAGATACTCAAATAAATGTGGAAAAGATACATATCCCTGAAGACGTACAAATTTCAATATAGAAATATAAGAAAGATAAAAAGCAAAGTAGTATGACTGTTTTATAGTTAATTACCCTAAAAACTATTTCCAAAGATAATGCAATATAAAAAATGCCAGAAAAAAATTCAAAAAAATGTTAAAATAGTGAATTATTTCAAAGATGAAGTAAAGAAAAACTGAGTAGATTAAGGAAAACAATGCAGGGTATGAAAAAACAATTCAATACAGATTCTGAAAAAGAATCAATTAGAAATCTTGAAAATAAAGAGCTCAATACCTCAAATAAATATATCCAGTTGAAGTTAGACCCATAGACTAGATCAAGTGAAAGAAAAAAATACCAGAGCTTGAAGTTGATGATGAAATATCACATTCAGACAATATCAACAACAATCAAAATAATTGTAAACAAATTACAAAACCACTAGACACAATTCATAGACTACTTTTATGAATCACTGGTACACATAATGGAGAAGAGGTACAGGCTACAGGCAATGAAAGCTTTCTCGGTGAATAAAAGAAACTATTTCTTATATCTTGTGAAAGTTATGGACATCCAGGTATAAGATTTTAGAATACCAAATGGACATGGCCCGAAAAGAACTTCTCCAAATCATAGTCTATAAAATTACCAAAGGTACACTGAAATCTATAATAAGGGCCAAAGAAATTATAAACATATCAGAAAAATATTAGATTTCTGAGTAGAAATTTTAAGGCCCAGGAAATGGTATATTTCAAACCCCAAATAAAATGTTAAAAAAGAAACAAAGACAATAATTGTAAAATAGATGGAAAGGGTGGTCATCATGTTAAGGTGAAAAAATCAGAAACAAAACCCCAATTATCACATTCTCTCCCTAACATGTGGAATTTGGGAAGAAAATAAGAATGACTAGAAAATGATGGAGGGAACATTAAGGAAGAGGGAAGGTAACTGTGGATGAAAAAGGGAGTAGAGGGGGAAAATGGAAGTAAGGAGAGTGGTCAGGATTCAAGTATTGTATATGTGTGTATAGAAATATCACTGTGAAATTCACTAATGTAGGCACTCAATAGGAGTTGATATTAACAGTTGACAAGAGCACCTGGTTTTATAACAAGTCCAATCTGCTATCATGTGACCATATACAAAACAGAACGTATAATTTTAAAATATTCTTACTTCTGCAAAGACATAAAATTTCAGGGTCAAAATAAATGTAAAATTTCTTCAGACAATATCATTTAGATGATAAATTTCTTATAATTAAATATTAAGATATCCTGGATTCTATATGAGCAAGAAATATATAAAAAATATGAATAGAATTTGAACATTTATTTTTTTCCACTCTTCTTTTGTGATCAAACATTCTTGCTCTTATTTACACAGGGCATGAACACCAAGAGTAACTCATTTTTTAAGTCTTACCTGGATTGAAATTTACTGATGTTCTAGATTGTGCTTTCATGTGTTGAAGAATTAAATTTCTGTTTCTATATTTGAAAAAAGTAATAAAATTGGTATTTTAACACTCATATGAAAACACTGACCAAATATAATTCAATACTTTATAATGTTTTAGATCTGGTATCAGAACTTTTTCTTATGCTCTCCTAATTTGTATACCCTATAAACATTTTGTTAACTTGAAAATTATTTGTGCAATGTATGTTTTTTCTTTTTTGTGAGATCGTATTTCATGATTATGATCAGGCTGATCTTAAATACCTGGGCTCAAGCAATTGTCCTGCCTCAGGCTCTTAAGTAGCTGGGGTAAATGCATGTGTCACTGCACCCATAGCTTGAAGTTAAAGAAGAAAAAAGATGAAATGATAATTAATTGAGAACAGGACAGGTAAATATATTAACTAGTGCAGCTTGAACTCAGAAAATGCCCTGTCTCTGTAAAAAATAGTTTTTTGTTCTTGCACAACTTCTTTCTCTTGGGATTAAGGCCTTTTAAAAAATAAGGGTTGTATCACTTTAGTTCACCAGGTTTTTATGGAGATTTACTAAGATAATATTGAAACATGTTAAGCAAAATAGTAAAATAATGGCATACTTAACTACTTACAATCTCAGCTAGAACTAATGTGCATTTTTCATAGGTTCTAATATTCAAAAGTTAAAATTATTTTAAAAAATGCTTGAGTCCTAATTTTCATGATCAATTGGGCTCTTCTTTGTGCTTTATAACTCAAAGTAAGTCAACAATTAATTGATAAATATTTATAAATATCTCCTTAAATTAGAGAATATAATCATCCCCTTCTGTGAAACTAACCAATAATAACAAAGGCAAGAAATTAACAAATGCCAAAAACTTGGACTACTACTATTTCTTCTCTACCTAGTTGAACAGAATCAGCAGATAAGTGTAGCTACATTTACATGTTGATCTCCAACTGACTTGGAACACAAAATTTTCTTTAACACAATGGATACTGAGGAGTCATTATGGGGCTTAGCTCTCTTAGATTCAATGAATCTGCTTAATCTATTCCTTTTGAGGCAGACCTTAATAAATGCTGAAAACTTTAGGCAGCGATTCTAACAGCTTGGAAATTTCCATTACTTGGGAAAACTACTAGAAGTGCCAATCTAAATTGGCACTCACCATGGAGAACAGTGATGTGGAACCCCCTGCAGTCAAAGAAAATCTATTTCAAGGGATGGAAGAATTTGGGACACAGATCTGTTAGCCAAGATGACAGAAAACTCTGATCTCTTCCAGAGATTACTTGAAGATTTACTTGAAGCTTTCTAATAGATTTGAATTATTTCAATTTTATGACAGAAAAGACAAAGTCCTAAAAGGATAATGCACCATAAAGGGCAAGGCTAATATGGGGATTCCACATAAGGTTCCTAAAAGGGGGGACAGGGTCAGAGTGCTTAGTATTTGTTGGCCAAAGCTAGAGGCCAAGCTGTCAAAGCAGAGTGCTCCTGCTTAGAAACAACTGTTGAATAAAAAAGCATAAGTGCATGAGAACTAAAAAGAGTGTGGAGTCTAAGTGTGGGTTACCATGAAGACTCAGGGATTGGATCAGTCAGGATATTTTGAAATAAAATCTCTTCACTACCAGACTGCAGGGCCAGGTCTGGCAGAAACACCACAGTAACAGAACTGACAGAGACAAAGGAAAAATTTAAAAATCTATTTATTCCCCTCCATCTGACTACAGAATTATCTTCCTTACACTTCAAGGATATCATTAGGTCTTTGATAAATTAAAGGGGGATGGTAGAATAGCTAACTTCAGCTAAACAGGGAATTTCAAGACTCAAATAGCAAATTATAAAATCACAGGTGTGCTACTATCTCTCCCTGTGAGGAGGGGTTATGCTTGAAATGAATTGGATAATGCTGAAAACCCTAAGGATAAAGGTTTACAAAGTCCTAAGATATTAGCTAGTGGTATATCTCAGTGGTAGAAAAATTTCCCAGCATGCATGAGAAGAAATAGAAAGGAGAGGGGAAGAGAGAGGATAGAACAAACCTTGAAGGTGACTCATGCACACATCACTACTTATTTTTTAAATAACTAATCCATTTTAATTATGTATATATGACAGTACAGTGCAATTTGATTCATTGGACACAACTGCAACAACTTTCATTTCTGAATTTATAGGATGTACCATTGCATCATATATGCAGTCATACCTGTACCAAGGTAATAATGTCTATCTCACTCCACAATCTTTCTTGTCTCCATTACCCCTCCATCCTTCTCTTTGCCCAATCAAAGTATCATCACTGCTTCTTGGCTAGACTTTGAAGGGTTTCTGACAAATGAACTATCCTAACTCACTACATTTCCATACATAGTGATGCTATGAAATCTCACCTCATATATAAGATGCAACAGGTGTAAGTATTGTGGATATACATCTAATGTTGATTAGTATTGTAACGTAAATACTCACGCAGTATTTCCACTAGCAATGGCATAAGACAAGGCAATCTCCACAATTATCTGAAGCAGACACATTAACACCACATTGAAGAAGAAGCTCAGCTATGTGTGTTGATTTATGTTCCACAGCCAACATGAGGGCTATTCTAAAATAAGAGAGATAACTTCAAATTTAGGTATTTTAATAAGTTTATTTAAAAAGCCATTGTAATACATTTTACCAATTTGACATCTAGCTTTAAATATACTAACAGACATATACATCTTGGAAGCTCAAATCTTTATCTTTCTAAATCATTTGTAAGTCTAAAAGGTAAACAAACACATAAAAATATAAATCACGTGTCCCAAAAGGGGAGAGTTACAAACTTAAAATCCTTCAATGGACATTAATTATGATGAGGTCATTCATCTGGGTTTGGCAAAGATTTCAATGAATAAAGCTCCATTTCTTTCTTAGAGTGATGTAATATATTCTAACTCACAGTCAGCCAAGGGTCAAGGAGTAAAAATGGTATTTGCAGGTATAACATAGTAACAGTAGCACTGGTGATAATAATAATAATTGTTGCTTCAGTCATTCACTCTGAGAAGCATTTGCCGGGCATTGAAATCAATGCTACATGTATAAACTTGCAACCAGATTTCAAGCATATGTTACACTCTTTTGCATTATAAATGTTCAAAATTTGTTAAGACTAATTAGACATCACTTAGGAAAAATCTGAAATCAATATTCTACAAATTAAGTAATTGAAAGAAAATAGTCATATGAAGGAAAAAATAATTCTCAATGTCTATTTATACTCAACACAGCATTTCCAAAAGAAAACTATTCCAGGAGAAGATGAAATATTGTGGAAACATTTAAAAGTTAAATACTGAATAAAAGCACAAACTAAAAGTCTATATTTTGCAAAACTAACATGAAAACTCTAGCTAACACAAGATTATGTGATCAACAAAATCAAATAGTAATCATCAGCCAATAATTATAAGGGCATGTGAATCATACTACATACTCTTATTTGTGTTGCTCAGTTTGAATAATTGCTTTTCTCTTTTATTTTAGTTTATGTTCATAAATTTCACTCTATTCCAATGATTATGTCATTACCATTAATTTAATATTTTTAACTTGAGTGATTTTACTACAATATTAACCTTTTTCCAAAAAATATAAAGTACTATACCTTCCCTTATCATCAACTTCATGTATGTTTGCTTTATTCTTAATAAAAAATTCTACCATCATCTTTCTGTTTTTCTTTATGACGAGTAAAAGTGGTGATTGGCCTCTCTGAAAAACAACAAATATAGTTTATTCACAAAATTACTATTTTTCAACTGAAGTTAACCTTACAAAATACTGTATGAACATAAGCATATAATAATAATGTAAATTAAGAGTAGCCACTCTCTTCTCTTCCCATTCTGCTGCCATACATGCTTCTCTTTCATTTTGAGATGCCTCTTTTCTGCCTAGAGTGGCCACTTGAACTCCAGCATTTCTAAAACTTCTTCATACATTTACTGTTTCCATGGATCTTTGCCGCTGTCAAGCATTCATCCTGGCATCTTGGAGTTATGTGACATGAACCCTCCTCAACCAAGAGCATTTTTAGGACATAAACTGTATTTTATATCCCAATAGACCCATTCCCTAATACATATTATTAAAGGATATAAGTATTATATTTCACTAACAAGCCAAATTCTCAACTCACTAGTAGGGTGTATAAATCATATTCTGAAGAACGTATACTTTTCCAGTAATATCAAGCCTCATAGAAAAGATTCCTTGTTTCACTGTTCGAGAAAATTTACACAACTGTGCATTGTATGTCCAGTAGTACAGAAATAGCTTTTCCATTGCTTAACACCTACTTGACACTGATTTTTTATTGGAGATATTCACATGTGAACAATTGAAGTTACAGGAATATATTTCTGAGAGCTTTCCAGCAACGTGGAAGTTTTCTCCATGTTATACAAGTCCACTTGATTCTTTTTTATTTATGAAATCAGAATCCCAGATTCCAATGTAAGGAATTTCTGCTTAAAATTGATAGAGTCTGAGTAAACTATGATGCTTTTTCATAATTGTTCCTGTGTCTTCTCTTATTATAAGTTGAAATATATTTATCTTACATGTCAGAAAGTTCAATACAAAAATATATTATTTTTATGCAATTGGAGAAAATTTTTCCAACTAATCTACTGAGAGGGGATTAACAAAGAGAAATAATCACTCAAAAAAAATTAACACAGACCTGGGATTATGGCTCAGTGGTAGAGCTCTCACCTAGCACATGTGAGGCCCTGGGTTTGATCCTCAGCAGCACATAAAATAAATAAAATCAATGTATTGTGTCCAATAAGAATTAAAATATAAATGTTTTTAAAAACTTCAAACAAACAAACAAACCACCCAGTCAATAACTGAGCAAAAGAACTAAACAGAAATTTCTCAAAAGAAACACAAATGTCCCAACTATATATAAAAAAGTCTTCTACATCTCTAGCAATTATGTTAATGCAAATAAAAACTACACTAA